TATATATATATATATATATATATATTGTCTGCATTATAATATTCATTTATTTTCAAATAGAGATAATTGACCTAATAAATCATATATAGATATATGTAGATATACCTGATATTAATGACATCTAAATGAATGTTAGCATAGAAGTGTATAGTTGATTTTCATTTTCATTTAGATGTATATAGTAGATATACCTGATATTATGTATATATATATATATATATGATTTTCATTTTCATTTAGAAGCATATATATAGATATACATATATATATTAGAAAGCCCAAAAAGGCTAATATATTAACTAGCAAGAAAGATACAGGTACAAAGTGTGGGAGGACCCAAGCATGGCACACTGCCCACACAAAAATCACAAATTATTTCAAAACTAGAAAATACAGAATAGAACATTAAGGACTTAAAAAAAAATCCTAAAAGTATCGAAATACAAAATATCAGGTGGCAAGAGAGCAATCTAATTTGGTCTTGCCTCTGCCCCTAGTTCTAGGGAAGGAGCAAGCTAATCAGTTGGTAAAATAATTGTCATTACCAGTAGTAACCAATGTATCATCTAATATGTTCTCGAGCTGGAGTCGGTCTCCATTCTTATTCTTCCTCCTAGAATAGACCTGTCATTCCTCATTCGAATATTGGCTCACCTGATCTTGGTCTAAAGTGTGCTGGAGATGTGCAGATTGTTGAACATTATAAGCAACTACATGTTGTACTGGCTGATCTGTTATTGAAGCAAAGGAACACTCTCGTGTGTCTTGGCATGTAAGTGAATTTTCTTCAATAACAGTCGGTGGTATAAGCACAACTAGATTTGTGGTTGTAGTATGGTGTTCTTCGTCATGAACTGTGGTGTGGGAAAGAGGATCGGGTTGCATCTTATCAACAGGGATGATAGGTGGTTGATCTTTAACGATATTCGACATTATATGAGAATGTAAACGACAGCAAATAGTAGAGCTGTGGCCAAACATACTGCAATGAGAGCAATAAGGAGAGTGTGGTTCTATTTCAACCTTTTTCCAATACCCGTTGTGAGTGGTTTCAATCCATATTTCATCTGGAGTTGGTTGAGTGATATCCATCTCAACTAACACACAAGCCACAGAGGGTCTGGTGACACCAAGCGTAGGATTATCAACCTTGAGAGGCTTACCGTAAGCAGTTGCTAAGGAGTAGAGAATTTCCAAATTGAACAGATGTAATTTTAACCCCAAAAACTTTATTCAAACTGGAATGATAAAAGACTCCGCTTTTAGATCAAAACCAATAGTCCACTTCAAAATTTTCATATAACGGTTGTCGATCTTGATAACTTTCCGAGAAAAAATGGAAGTGTAATCAGCATCGTGAGGCAACTGAATCAGTATGTGTCGACCGTCAAGTAAACCAATATTTCAACTGTCCAACTGCTTCATACTATCAAATTCTTTTCGAACATTCTCAAGTTTTGCGTAACCATAAAGAATTTTTTCCACTAGAGCAAAACGCCACGAAGATGCGAGAGTACTTGTTTCAACCTCTGTGAGAATAAGAGCAGGCTTCCCATTTTTTTTCTCAATTTTTAATGAATGTGTGATCACCTCCGCCACCTTCAAGAGCCTCGTAAAATGATTGTGGAACATTGCAGGATTTACTTATATGAAAACCAGTCTCTGAATCTGAAAGAGGAGCGCGAGTATGAATAGGAAATTTGTAGGCAAGTGCAGTGGTATAGGAACGGATCATTGATGTCATCTCCAGAGCAGATAGGCGAGCCGCTGGAAATAGGCGAGCAAATTTCGAAGCTGCTTTTTACCCTAGACGCGAGCCGTCTGCGAGCGTCGTCAAGAGTACGAGATCTAGATTTCGGAGCTGCTTCTGTACCCTAAACGCGAGTCGTCGACTGCGGGAAGACGCGAGCATCGAGAGCCGTCGACTGTGTCGTCAAGAGCTGTGAGCGTCGTCAAGAGTACGAGATCGTTTAGACTTCGGAACTGCTTCTGTACCCTACACGCGAGTCATCGACTGCGTCGTCAAGTACGAGAGTTGCGAGCGTTGTCGAGAGGGACATCTGCGAGAGCGTGAAAACATCTTCTCGGGAGACGACAGAGTGAAAGAAAAAATTGAGGAATCATCGCCGGGAATCTCCATAGTGCTAAACCCTAGCAGAGCCCGCTGCCGACGACACATTTTGATGAATTATATATATTGTTTGCATTATAATATTCATTTATTTTCAAATAGAGATAATTGACTGGATAAATCATATATAAATATATGTAGATATACCTAATATTATGACATTCTAAATGAATGTTAGCATAGAAGTGTATTGTTGCGGTCACTCGTGCTTATGATCGTATGGATGATTTTGTTCTAGACCATTTGAACATATGGCACTCTTACCATTACAATCACATTGTTAATTCAATTTTAGGTATATAGTAAATCGCACCTATAGTTGTTGCGCTAAATTCTCTAATATCTTATCATTTATATTTTAATAGATTTAATTATTTGTTGTGTTTGATTCATCAAACTCATTTATGGTTTTTTTTTTTGTAACAATTTCTATCAACGTACTTGGTGAACTACCACCAAAGAAGCAAAACCTTAGCATTAGTCGTGTTTTGGTGTTTTAACTTTATGTATTAGTCTCATTGTATTTTCATAGGTTGAGTAGTTGCTTATTCATCATCATTTCAACTTCTTGTTTCAGTTGCATGTTATTCCTTTAACTGTATTAGTAATTTATATATATGTAACAAAATAAATTTTATCTTTCTTTGCTTACATTTGTTATTCGTTGTACTTGTCTATAAAATCTTCTTTTGTAAGACCATCTCATTCCACCCAATGTTGTCGGAATGCACCGCCTTCTGGACCCAAACTATGACACAAGAATACCTAACAAATAATAACCCATGGCATACAGTTATATAATCTGTCATATATGATATGATTATTTGTATATGATAAAATCAATATATGAACATGGCATTATTCCCTAACGTGAATTGTTATGAAAGCTAAAAATACAGGTTGGGGTTTTTTAGTCCTCTTAGATCTGTGTGTTGTTAGTTTATAAATAAGTAAGATTTGAACGCAGTGTATCAAATTGATCTTAAAAAAGGGTAGAAGTAGCAAATAGTTTCAGTCATAGGCATAATTTTGTAGATCGAGAATAAGCCTGACCACCGACCCAACAATAATCCCCATGTCTTCGGTGTCTCACACTCCCAAACAAAAGAGAATTAGAACAACGAATAAAGCGAGTAGACTACATGGTCAATCCAAAACGATTTGCATAGCAATCGATAGAGTAATAGAGGTAATGTATAGAGTAGGATACTTGATCGGGGCTAGACCTCTGCGAAAGCTGAATCTTCAAATTGGCGGAAATAGCAACCCTATTTCGTCGATCGCTGCCGCCTCCTCCTCTGCCAATCTTGCTTCCGGAATCCAGGTGATGTTTGATTAGAAGAACTCTTGAAGCATAAGCAGCACCGGAAGACGTGTAAACCATCTTTGCGAGTGATCCAAACCGCACTCTTCCCTGTAGGCGGAGCCGATGGGATGCGGACGAAAGCTCTCCTTACAAAATTCAAATGCGACTCCGCCACATCACCATAAACGTCATCGGCCGGTGATCTGACGCTGGTGGTTGGCCGCAGCATCCAGACGAAACATTTTTCCTTATTATAGTGGTTCAAAAGAATTTTCTTTAAGAATTTTTTTAGAATGATTTGTTTCTTTCATTCTTTCGTTTTATATATTTAATATCTAAAATTTGCTATCAAACAAAATTTTCAAATTAAGATTTAAAATTAATGCTACTGTTAAATGCCCTCAACATATTTTAGCATTGTTGTCCAATCACCCTTAGCTGCCACTCTTTGGTCACTTCACCTCCATTGTTAATCTTCTCGCTCCCCAGTTCCCATTTTTGTCAATCCAACCCTGATTAAGGCTCTATTTGAGGAGATATTGCGGCACCGCACTTTAGTTTTGTGTGTTTGGGTAAACTGCGTTTTGACAGCTTTTTCAAGAAGCTGCCAATGAAATCTTCGTTTTTTTGCACTCTTGACGAGATGCGATGACAACTTTCTAGTTTCGGTTTTACTTTTAAAAAAATTTGTAATATTCAGTGCAACCTTTTTAGCATCAAATTATTATTCAGCAGTTTCATTGTCATTTTTTTAATAAGTTGTAACTGTCACAAATAGATATGTTAGAAACGGTGGAGCCCGACCCACTATGTTTGGGCGTTTACTTTGCTTTGGAGTTACACCTCTTCACAAATAACCACTATCGCATTTCTCTTTTGTGAAGTGAAGCATCTCTTCGCTCCCTCTTGTTCGTGATAAAAGTTTCGGATGACTCTCCTTGGGTTTAGAAGTCACACTTTGAGTTCTTCTTCGGTTTCCTCATGATAGAGGAAGGTTTCCTCGGGCAGAGTCTTCTTCGGTTTCCTCCTCATGATAGAGGAAGGTTTCCTCGGGCAGAGAAAGAGAAGTGCAAGGAGGAGTGGTTCCTTGCTACGGAAGGAAGAAGAAGGAAGAAGAAGAACATTGCTCTCTATATGCTTCTTCTTGGTGGCTTGTGGCAGAAGAGAAATTAGGTTTATTTCTCTTGTAAGTTTGTCTTCTTCGATGTATCTCGGTGTTGAGTTTCTTCGGTTGAGTTTCTTCGGTGTATCTCGGGGTGTATCTCGGTGTAAAGAGAGAAGAACAAAGAGAGAAGAAGAGAGGGAGCAATGAAGAGTGAGAGATTCCTCTCGTAAGTTGAGGTGATCGACTGGTGTAAATTCCTCAAGTAGTAAAATCCTCTACAACTCTGTGGACGTAGGAAATTTGTAAATTTGTCGAACCACGACCACGTAAATTTGTGTGTTCCACTGTGTTGTTCTTTTCTGGTGTGATTTTTCATTTTATTTTTCACTTCGTCGATCGTTCTCATGTTTGATTTATATATATACCACATCAACTAGTGTATATCTCCCAAAGATCTCGCAACACTAACAACTGACATTAGTGCGTGGTTTCGGATTTGAGGAAGAATAATGGCTGCAGATGAAGTGAATGTTTCAGGGATCGAGAAGATTGATAACACATATTTTGGTTATTGGAGAATGCAGATAAAGTATTATCTTTATGGAAAGAAACTTTGGGTCTATTTGGGGTAGTTGCAGCTTATTGAATAATCTACTGATAAGCTGTAATCCTGATAATCTGTTGTTGAGCAGCTCATTCGAATAAGCTGGCTGATATTTTTTATTTTTTTGGAAAGGTCATATCACTGCCAAAAGCTGTCACCGCACCTAGATAGGTGTGATGTGAGAGCACTGTTTTCAGCATTTTGAAAACGCATAAACTGTCAAAATGCAGTTTATCCAAACATGTCATGCGTGTTTTCAAAACGCCACCGCACAAATAAGCTACCCCAAATGGACCCTTCATCTTTCTTTATTGGGGAAAAGACCTGAATGGATGGATGAGGCTGAATGGAATTTGTTAGATCGATAAGTTTTGGGTATTATTCGATTGACCCTATCGAGGTTTGTTGCACGCATCGTCGTCAAGGAAAGGACGCTTGCAGATCTCGTGAAAGCCTTATCAGGTATGTATGAAAAATCATCGGCGAATAACAAAGTGCACTTGATGAATAAGCTATTCAATTTGAAGATGTTTATGTTGCTCAATACCTGAATGTTGTCGTCGGTGGAAATTGATTTTGATGATGAGATATGTGCATTGATCTTGTTGGTTTCATTGCCAGATAGTTGGGAAGTCATGATGATGACAGTTAACAGCTCCGCAGATAAATCTAAACTGAAATACGATGATATTCATGATTTGATTTTGGCTGAGGTAGTTCACATGAAAGATTATGGCGATGTCTCAGGTTCGAGTTTGACACTGAATGTTGATTTCAGAGGAAGATGACATGATAGGAACTCAAGTATATAGAGATCAAAATTAAAGTTTAGTAAACATTCAACCTGTTGGAATTGTGGCAATACTGGCCACATAAAGAAGAACTGCAGGAATCCTAAGAATATGGAGAATGATAGCGCAAATGTGTTATCTGAAGAATCACGGGATGCACTATTATTGGCAGTTCATAATTTTGTTTAAGACTTGATATTGGATTCAGGGGCTTTGAATGTGATGGGAAATCTACCAGAGGCCACAGTGCAGGGCAGTGATGGAAGTGAAGAGGAAAGTGGGTCCGGGGAACCCATTCCTATTATTCCACAGACAGATGTTAAAGAACCACAGAGCTATGAAGAAATCTTGCAAGATGAAAGTTCGAGCAAGTGTGAGCTGACAGAACTTCCACTAGGGAAGAAGGCATTGCACAAAAAGTGGGTGTATCAGGTGAAGTCAGAGTGTGATGTCAGTAAGAGGTACAAGACTAAACATGTTGAAAAAGGCTTTCAGTAGAGGCAAGATGTTGCCCATGCAGTGGGAGTAGTAAGAAGAGACAAGAGTGACCCAAGAAATAGCTTGGAGGTGCAAAGCTATGTGGAGTCTGCTGATATGTTAATTGAGGGTGTTTTGAGGGTGTTACTCTTGAGGGGTGTTACTCTTGAGAAAATTAAGTTGTGTATAGCTTCAATTGGTCTTTTGGAGTGAAGACAGAAATTTTGAGTTGTAGAGGTGGAGGATTCAAGGTGGAGGATACATGAAGAAAAATGCGACACCGCCGATGGAGGATATCAATTTAAGGATGGAGATGTTGCAGCCTGTGTACCGTTCTCCAAGTGTGAGCATTGTTAGAAACGGTGGAGCCCGGTCCATTATGTTTGGGCGGTTATTTTGTTTTGGAGAGTCATACCTCTTCGCAAATAACCACTCCTGCCTTCTTCTTTTGTGAAGTGAAGCATCTCTTCGCTCCCTCCTGTTCGCGATAAAAGCTTCGGATGACTCTCCTTGGGTTTAGAAGTCACGCTTTGAGTTCTTCTTCACTTTCCTCGGGATAGAGGAAGGTTTCCTCGGGGCAGCGAAAGAGAAGTGCGAGGAGAAGCAGTTCCTTGCGGCAGAAGGAAGAGGAAGAAGATTGTTCTCCCTAGGCTTCTTCTTGGTGGCTTGTAGCAGAAGAGAAATTGAGTTTATTTCTCTTGTAAGTTTGTCTTCTTTGTTGTATCTCGATGTATCGTTTTTTTGGTGTATCTCGGTATAGAGAGAGAATAACAGAGAAAGAAGAAGAGAGAGAGTAATGAAGAGTTGGAAATTTCTCTCGTAAGTTGAAGTGATCGACTGATGTAAATTCCTCAAGTGGGAAAATCCTCTGTGACTGTAGACTTAGGCAATTTGCCAGACCAAGTAAATCAGTGTGTTCCGGTATGTTGTTCTTTTATGGTGTGATTTTTCTCGTTCTATTTTTCACTTCGTCAATCGTTCTCCTATTTGATTTATCCTATTTGATTTATATATATATATATATACCACATCAACTGGTATATCTAGATCTTGCAACAAGAACAATACATTAATGACATTTTTAGCAACAAAAAAGAAGAGAAGAAAATGAGAAAAAAGAAAGGGTGGATGAAAGTCTAGAGCTAAAGATGAGAGGATTATGCTTCGTTTGAAGTAGTTTTGGTGAAGCTCTTTTAAAGGTTTTGTCACAGAATATAACACTTCATCTCCAGCCTAAAATTTTGTGTTTTTTCACCATTTTGGACCTTGTGGTGGACATGATGTTGATCAATGATCTCCTCCAAACGACACTACGATAGTTTATTCGTTTTTGCGCATCGCGACTGATCCTTGGTGTGATCACAAAGCTTTAATTTCTTGAAATTGACATATTAATTTTTTTTTTTGTAATAAATCAATATTAAAACAAAAACGACAAAGTCAGGATTTAGAATTCAAATTTTTTCTTATCAATCAACAAAAATTAGGGTTTAAATCATGAAGTTTGGCAATTATTGCCACAATAATGTGGGTGGCGATTATTTGGCATTTGCAAGAAATGCAAAAACATGTTTGTCACAAATTTCTCTTTGTTCTTCGACATGTATAAATAGAGAAGGGAGGGTGAGTGTCTTTCACGCTCATTTTCTTCCTTAATTTTCCATCTTAGAGGCCAACCTCTTCTTTTTCATTAGATTCTCTTAATTTCTATAAAGATGAGGTATTTAGTTTCATTTATGAAATTTTTTTCTTTTAATTATTTTAATTTTGTAGATTATATTTAACAATTTTCCAAATATATTATTTAATAATAATAATAATAATTATTATTATTATTTGAATTAAGATAATAATAATAATATTATTATTATTATTAAATTTATTAATTTGATTACAGAAAACAAAATGTAAAATAAAATTAAAAAAAAAAACATCTCTAATAAATATTTACAAAAGGTAGAATTATCTGTTTACCCCAGTTTTAATAAGGGCGCTACAGAATAATTTAGTAAAAGTAAATAAATAAAAATTTAAATACATGTCTGAAAAGATAAATTAATAAATAAACATTCAGCTCAACCCTTCATGCTGATCGGCCATTTGCGACCGATAATCTACTGGTTAGCGAGAGACTGATAGAGAGATTATGTCAGGTTTAAGTTGTGGGCCAACTAAATACTTATATATTGGCTAATCTTTGATTGGTCGACATTCAATTGATCGATTGGCTTCTACTGTCTGTCAGTCTTTTTTGGACTCTACTATGATGAAATT